AATTCTCTGGAATGCTTTACTCGTTTGACGATTACAAAGGGGAAAAAAGCAACATTCTTTACGTTACTGTTGAAATAAACAACACACTTCTCTTTGTGATGTTAACTAATCATGGGAACTAATATGAAGGAAATTCAATTGCAGCGAAACATGTGTTCTGTATTTTTTTTTCTTTGTCAAGAGGAGAAATCAGGCAAAACTGGCTGGGTTTAAGTGAAGCTTATACCAGTTTGAGTGAAAAGAGGCGCATCAATATAATAATAAGTGCTATTTGTTTGGGTTTTTTTCTGGGAGGGGATTGTTTTTTGTTAGTTTTTGGGGGGTTGTTTGTATGTTGCTTTTTGTTGTTGTTGTTGTTGTTGTTGTTGTTTTGTAAGCCTATGAACTGTATTTTTTCCTATCACACATCCAATAAATTGCTCAAGATCCCCCAGTAAGTTATTTGTCATCTACCTCTGCCCCCTCTGTTCAAGAACAAAATGAAGAAACTACATATTGATCTTAGTTAATCTGTGCGCTTTGTCGTCTGCTTTTTAGCGAAAACAATACGTCTACAATGGTATCTATCAAATCGTCGTCAGCGCATCATTCGCACGTCAGTCGTGAAATATACTCGTTTTTTTTTCTTCTTCTTTTTCTTATCACAAAGCAACCTCTGTCTACTTTGAACAAAACAATCTATAACACCAAAGGCCAAGCGCACAGTTTTTTAAAAGATTCATTTCATAACTCTGGCGGTGTGAGTCCCTCTGCAACGGGTTATTCCGTATTCCGGGTCGATCATTTGAATCGATACCTCCTGATCGGTATGATCCATCACTTTTTAGCCCTTGTTGTTGGGAAGGATTTGCTCATTTAATCCAGAAAAGCATTTCAATCTTATGCGTTTTATCGAATAGGGGTAGAGGATGGAAGAGAAGAGAGACGACAAAGGGAAAATGCTCAAAGCCATAAATTATGCAATCAGGCTTCTTTTTGTATTAGAACTGACTAATCTCGTTGTGTCTTTATACCCAAGAAAGCACGCTTCAGAATGTCGTCCTTCGTTTCTACAAAACTATGGCTTATGTCAAAGAAGTTTAAATGTTCCGTTTCTGTCTGCCATAGTCCCCCCCCTCTCTCTCTCCTCTCCGTCTCTCCCCCCCCCCCCCTCCTCACCCCCGAGGGATCTTTAAAGCCCCATATTACTATTTTGTTGATTTTTTTTTAAAAAAGCATTTTCACTTTTCTTCTCTTATATGTAAGGAAACTCGATCTGTTAAAGCATGTTTTTGGGATGTCCCTGTTAGAGGGATTTTTATGTTATGCATAAATATGTCTTGAAGTTGACAGAAGATACTTGTTTATGTGTATGTGTTGGCAGCAGTATACATGTGCACCTGTTCGTAGGGAGAGGAAAAGGGAGAATAACAGAGAGGGAGAGAGAGAGAGAGAGAGAGAGAGAGAGAGAGAGAGAGAGAGAGAGAGAGAGGGGTGGGGGGAACTGGGAGAGGGGTGAAAGAGGTCGGGTAGAAATGGAGGAAGGGAGATTCAGATTGAGAAAAGTAGGGTATGAACTAGA